CACGACCAAACCATCAAAAGGAATATATATCTTACCGTGATTTTGGAGACGTTAGGAGGGGGGGGGGGATTATGCTGTTTAGGAGGCCTGGTTCCCCATCAATAATAAATTAGGCTCTTGTTTTGTAACAAAAAAGGTTTGGGGAACGCCTAATGCGCTGAAAGCTTACAAATGAATAGTCACAGCATTCCATTGAATTGTACTCCGTGGATTGTTTCTTTTGTTTTGTTTTTATGGAGGGGGGGATGTTCATAGAGACAGTCTACGGAAACAGCCCACAAACAATCGAAATCGAACAGCCGAAACTCAATATTGAACAGTACGTCCAAAGAATTACCCGAAACAAAACAAATGGTTATTCAAAGTTTCCAGTGGCGTATTGGAGCTTGTCTGTAGCCTCCAATTTAAATAGCCACAACCTTCCCTGGGTTTGATTGGCAATTTCAGTTTTATATAAAATTTGTTGTTCAATGCACACATTTAATACATACACATAATGTCTGATTTTAAAGGAGTTGCAAAGTTTTGCGTTTCACTCATTTTTCTTTGAAAAAGTCAAAAACTTGATATTTCTCTCAGGAGTGCATAGGTTTTCTTTGTATTGACAAATGTGACGTCCACTTGGTGCAGTTTTTGGGGGGTTTTTTAAGTTTTGTTGTAACAATTATGTCAAAAGATAACTCAGTTAATACCCTTTAATGTAAACAAGTATTTTTTAAACACCGGGAATATGCCCTTTGGAGACATTTTATTAGAAGAACTGCTTTTGATGTTTTTCCAAACAGTATAATATTTTTTGTGTGTGTTTATTTGTTTGTCTGAGTGTGGTTTTTTTCTTGTGCGTGTGTCTGAGAATATGGGCTCATTTGTTAGCAATTTTCAGAACTGAGACTTAGTTTCAGACAAAGTTGTTTTGTTTTTTTAATATTATTATATTGCTTTCTTTTATCTGAGTCAGCTAGGATGTTTTTCTTTGTTTTGTTTTGTCTTGTTGGGTTGTTGTTTTTTTTATAATAAATGGTTTAACATTTTGAATACTTGTATACCAATGGTTTATAAGACAATCAATTTTTAAGCTTAAAAAAAAGTCTAAAGTTTGTTGGGTTATTTCATGTTCCCCACTAAAATGACAAAAGGGCAGCCATTTTATTATAAATTTTTGTATTACATTGCCCTGTCCCCTCGTCCTAATTTTGTGGGTGCCAGTTGTTAGTTACGTGTACGACTTAAGATTGCTCAACATTGCTGTGATGAAAAAATCATTTGGAAGCTGTTACTGCTGCTGCTGCTGCTGCTGCTGCTGTGATTGTTGCTCCAGAGGTAAGATGGCAAGGCTATATCATATGTCTAGAATTGTTTGTATGATGATGAGGAGGATTTTTTTTCCTACTTTAAAACATGATGTGGTGAGAGTTTTACTTTTAGGTTTCCCTTTCTTTGTGCTGTTGCACTTCATTGTACATCGCCCCCTCCCCCCTTTTCGAAATTAAATTTGTGCCAGTTCGGCGTGAGCTTTAAACACTATGTGTGCACAATTTTAACGTATCTATACGCCCAGCCAGGACCATGGCGGTAACGACTTAGCTTTTCTTTTTCAGAGCTTCGGCTCTTTCCGATATTGTCCAAATCGCACCTATACGTAACTTGTAGTGAACGCTTTGTTGCTATGGCGTCATCACTCAATTTTTTTTTCTCAGATACTATGTTCCTGATGAAGCCTTATTGGCGAAACGTTGAACAGAACATCCAGGCCTATACGAACATCTAAATAACGACACCAATCCTATTCAAGTCTCAAGTATACATTTTTTTTCTACTTTAAAACATGATAATGATGATGATGATGGTGATGATGATGAGATGATGATGATGATGATGATGATGATGATGATGATGATGATGATGATGATGATGATGGCATATTGGGTGCCTACTATTTCTTCTTGCCTTTCCCACTCGATGTACTTTTGCAGTGTGATGTTTTATACACTAAACGATTTTTAAATAAGAATTCAATAGATTATGTATATTATTTGTAGAGCACTAAAACTGCGGTAAATCAGCGGAAGAGCAAAACTGTTGTGAGTACATGGGAGATAATGACAAACGTGATGACAAGTTGTGAGCTGACTTCAGTTTCTGTTATCTTCCTTGTGTGGAAGTAGTGCCAGGGGAATAATATAAACAACTGTATCCTTACGCATTACGCACCACGGTGCAGAGGAGACCACGCTTTTAAAAAGTCATACGTGTCACGACACGGTAGTATCAGGCACTCGTCAGCTTTTTGGGAGCAGTTTGTTTGTTTATTGTTGTTGTTGTTGTTTGTTGTTTGTTTGTTGTTCTTTTTTGTTGTTGCTGGGTGGGTTGCTGTTTTGTTGTTGTTGGGTTTTTTTGGGGGGTTGGGGTGGGGGGGATTGTTTAAGTTGTTTTTTCATGTAGATTTATTGGTATCATCTCACAGTTTGTTCAGTTGTCTAACCTTTCCATGAATATTACCCGTCTATATTTAATAGAAGTAGAGCTTTTTGGGATTAAAGGAGGTTTGGGGTGGGGGGGAGTGCCTGGGGTAAATTTAGCGAGAAAATGACTGCCAAAATTCAGCGACTTCTAAAGCATTAGTGTCCTTGGAGCCTGCAAATTTATTATTTTTATATGCCTTCCACCAACGTTTATCAGTAAAATACACACAGAACTGTCTTCTTAAATAGACCTACTAGGCTTCTGTCTTCCTAGTTTTCTCCATGAAAAATTTCAAAATTCTGAGCAGAATTTTACGCCCAAAATGACCAAATTCTGCAAAAATTCTACAAAGATTGCGACCTTGTCCAAGCTTCTTTTTCCATACTGCTTTACAAAATATAAAAGTACGAATTAATCATAAGCTGAGAAGTAGCACTAGAGACACAGTAAATAAAACAAAATCAACAATTAGAAGTATACAATCTGTATTTTTGTTTAGAAACACAAGCTGATAATATAAAATACTAGCACAAGGTGTGACCGATAGAAATGAGACACCATTGTATAATTCCAAAATCAGGTGATCTGGCAGTTTGAGCTATTTCATTTATACATTTGTAGCAGACACGGTTCGTCCATAGAACACGGTCGTGTAGTGCCACTCATTTTTTGGTTATGTTCTGTTACGTAAAGCACCCACAAACATAAAATAAAAGAAGCTAGAAACAAACACTAGCCAAATATTATATCAAAACAAGGTCCTCATTGGCGCCGTAACGGTCATTTCTGTGTCTACAGCGCCGTAAAGCATCTACTATGCCATGCCAAAGTCCACGAGCTTTAACTTTAACTAAACAGAATATTCAACAAAGGTAACTTTACCTATAAATCGCTCTTTGGGCTAACCCAAGCGATGACGACACTCGTAGCGAGTTTTGCGGTGCAATAATATTGATAAGACGGCACATCTCAAATGCGCACCCACGAAACATATCCCACAGTAGGCAGTCTGAAAATAAACGCGATAGGCTATACACTAGTATATGCCAAAATTATGTGAGCCCGGTGCAATCCACCAGAGTGCTCGAGTTAATTGTGATTGGTTAATTTGTCTTGCCACTATTTAAAGTGACTCTGTGACCGTGAACCTGAGGGAAGAAAACGTGACATACTTAAGTCACCGTCCTATGAGTCGTGCCTTTGAATGGTTTTGTAAAGGAGTGGTGAAAGTTAGTAATTGAGTGTTCAGTTCCAAAGCAGGATGAACGAAATTTATGCATAGCTAACAAATAGATTTAGTTCCTGAAATCAAAGCGACAAGTACATGTGTAAAAAGAATTAAAATAAAAGCATACGGTCCCCCTTGACCAATTCAAAGATCCTAAAAGTATACACCATCCCATTTACTAAGCCCTTGACTCTCTTCAAGTTACGATAGCTTAATTGTGCACGCCCACTTTTTTAGCCCCACGAGCCGCCCTTGATTTGTAGCAGTTTACACAAACTTTGCTCTATATTCCTTTGACCATGCAGCAAGTGAAGGCCTTTCTGAACCTTCAGGGTTGGCGTAACATGATCAAACTTTTTCTTATGAACTATCAATTTGCCTCACAATTCTGTCCTGTGAGAATTTGTTTGATGGGGAAAGCGTTGTATAAATGCCAGTTGTTTTTGTACATTTCCATTTATGCTGAGAAACAAAGGCGATCTTGAAATCTCGTCTAGAACTCCACGGATCTAGATCAACTTTGTTTACTGTTTACAAAAAAAGAACGCTTTAATTCCTTGCTTCCAGTGAGAGGGAGATCACTCTACCATCGTCTAGAACTCCACGGATCTAGATCAACTTTGTTTACTGTTTACAAAAAAAGAACGCTTTAATTCCTTGCTTCCAGTGAGAGGGAGATCACTCTACCACCGGTCGTCAGCTCGGTTCAGTTTCATTTTTTTTTTTCGCAATCCTAGGTCTGAAAGCATAATATTGCTGCAACATTCTGCAATATTCTGTCCTCCGCCCCCTCCCTCCCAAAAAAAAAATCAAAATTCCGCGATCACGCAACTACTATGATAGAATGTGTTGAGAAGTTGAGAAAAAAAGAAATCGCCCAACAGGCGGAAATATGACGGTTTCTTCGAATTTATTATTTTGACGAACACTTGATTTCACCACGATGAAACATAATTATAATATTATCATACGTGCCACCTGATAGGGGTTTTGTAGAAGTAATACGTATCTTACTGTTTTGACACGAAACAGCCTTTAGGTAAACTAATCTTTGTACTACTTACAAAAAAATGGAGCCTAATCCAGCTGGAATATTTCTAGGAATGTGTAGAAATTGCATCACACCACGCCCACAACAAATTGGAAAATCATGATAACGAAGAAACAACGTGCACTGTTTGGATTTCCCATGAATATTTCAGGAATTTCTGGAGATTGTTTCTCAGCTATGAAATGATTGTGCACATGGAGAGAAAAGAAAAGACATGATACCTGTGCCATGAACATCTGTTGTTTTGTCGTTGTTGTTGTTTTTGTTGTTGTTGTTGTTGTTGTTGTTGTTGTTGTTGTTGTTGTTGTTGTTGTTCAACTTAAGCGACATAACAAGAAGTTTTTTAAAAACTATTGAAAGGGGGGATCTGGTATAAGTAGTCGATCAGTTAGCCTACAAGATAATAGTTAACAGTACGTGACGTATATCAAGGAAAGCAACAGATAGACAAAATTTTAATGGCTGCTACTGCTATCACAATTGCGCCAGCGTGGTCCTGTAAACAGTTCATAAATTGTACTTCTTTGTTCTCTTGTGCTGGGTGTGTGTGTGCGTGCGTGTATGTGTGTTTATGTGTTTGTATGTGTGTGTATGTGTGTGTATGTGTGTGTCTGTTCCTGTAAACACTGCATAAGCTGTACTCCTTCGTTGTGTTGTGTTGTGATGTGTGTGTGTGTGAGTGTGTGTGTGTGTGTGTGTGTGTGTGTGTGTGTGTGTGTGTGTGTGTGTGCACGTGTGTGTCTGGTCCTGTAAATAATACATAAGTTGTATTTCTGTGTTGTGTGTGTCTGTTTGTTTGTGTGTCTTTGAGTGCGTGTGCGTGGTTCTGTAAACAGTGAGTTGTACTGCTGTATATTATAGATCCAGAGCAGACCTGATTCTGTTTGGGTGTTTAACAAAAACAATGTGTGCACCTCCTTTTTTAAGGCATACTATACGAATTGAATACATACAGATTAAAAGAGGAGTCAGACAAGGATGTGTACTTTCTCCAGACTTGTTCTCCCTGTATAGTGAAAATATCATGAGACACATAGAAGAAATGCCTGGTATCTCGATAGGGGGACATAATATAAACAATCTAAGATATGCAGATGACACAGTCCTAATAGCAGAAGATGAAGAACACCTGCAGAATCTATTAAATGTCATCGTACAAGAGAGTGACAACATGGGCTTAAACCTAAACATCAAGAAAATCGAAACGATGGTGATAAGCAGAAATACTCCAATCCCAACATGCAATATCAAAATCAATGATACCACCCTCAAGCAAGTGCAACATTTTAGATATTTGGGGACCATTATATCATCAGATGGTAGATGTCACACCGAAATTAAAAGCCGAATTTGCCAAGCAAAAGCAACCTTCCACAAGATGAAACAGATACTAACAAACATCAATCTGTCACTGGAAATGAGGAAAAGAGTAATGAAAAGCTACATCGAGCCAATCCTATTATACGGGTGCGAAGCATGGACAATCAATAAACAGCTGGAAAAAACAATTGTTGCGGCAGAGTTGTGGTTCATGAGACGCATGCTACGTATCCCATGGACAGCTAGAAAAACAAATGAAGAAGTCCTGGTTGAAGCAAATTATAGAAAACAACTTATCACGAATATAAGAAAACGACAGGCAAATTTTTTCGGACACACAATGCGGAAAGAAGCATTAGAGAACATTGTAACAACAGGAAAGTTTGATGGAAAGAGAGGTAGAGGCAGACAGAGGGAAAAGATACTGGACAAGATGACAACA